GAAATATGACTTTAATTAGAGGCTAAACCTGCCTATGTACATGGAATGTTTTTACAATTTGCTGCGAAATTATTAGTTAGCCCTTTTATTATTTTGTTTTGAATTAAAATTGGATAAAAACTAACACAATAATAAAAATAAACGTAAAATTGGATAAAAAATCAGTTTAAACTTTTTCAAAAGTTCTATTTGAAAATGAATTTAATATTACCAATATGTAAATAAACTATTAAATACTAATAATTACCTAAATGGTAAATTATTTTAAAATAATTGGCTCCGGGAGGCACGAATAGCCGCCCATTCTAAAATATGTTAATAAAAAGTTGGTAGGCAGTTCTTTTAGTTTCAAAGTAAAGGATTTTTTTGGTCCGCGGTTATTTGCCCTATCCGCCAACTGGGGTCGCGTCCGGTGGGAGTTTGGAGTTCTCCACACGGATTTTCTGAAAAACGGACTGCGGAAACAAGGAATATTTCAAAAACTGCGACTTTGACTGATTTGATGTTATTACAAATTTTGTAGCAAATATTATTCCTAATCTTAAATTGAAAACCGCGTTTCGCTAACTGCTGTAACTTTGGAGTTACGATTTTTTAAATTTTTTAACCCCCTTCCATACCCCTCTTACCAACCCCCCACCACCACTAAAAACTAATACCCAGATTCTCGGTTGCCACAGTATTATTGTGCCAAATTTGGTTAAAATCGGTTTAGCGGTTTTTGAGTTATCGTGTTACAGACAGACGGACAAACGGACAAATGGACAGATGGACAGACAGACAGACACCATGAACATATTTTGTATTTAGGTCATTTATGACCCAAATAACTCATTTTGAGTGAAATTAAAAAAAAATGCCGATCTTAATAGCCTACCATACCTGTTGGTATGGTCGGCTAAAAATTGAAATAATAAAAAATAAAGCGGCTTGACAGACAGACAGACGGACAAACAACAAAGTTACTTTACTCCCTGACGAGTATTTGACACGTATCAGAAGATAGTCACAAAGGGCGCTTTTTTTTCATGATCTTTTCTATGACTGAAATCCCGATACGTTATGTTATCTCTTTTACGCATTCCAGACATTCAAAAATCTGATTATTTTGTTGTCTCTTTATTTTTTTGTTGTTTTTGTTAAATGAGTTTGCTCTTCTCAATGGCTTTCTTTGGTACGCTGCTTCCTCCCACTGATTCTGCATGCGCCTATCCCCTTTAAGTTTTTGTGGAAATATCCTTGCACCTTTTGAGTTATCCACCAGTTTTTCTCTTACAAGCTCGCCATAAAGAAGAAGAAATTTTGGGAGGCTGTTTTATTGCATGCTATATACGTGACCAGCCCACCTTAAGCGGGATTTAGTGATCATGACTTCAGCGCTCTCACAGCTACCTTTTTCAAGGACATATATGTTTGAGACATGTAGGAACCATTTGATTATTAAGAGTTGTCTAAGGTGTCTCAGTTGAAAATTGTTTAATGCGTTCATGTGCCGGCTGTACAGCACCCAGGTTTCGCTCTCATAGAACATGGTAGGGATTATTATTGCTCGGTACACCGCAAGTTTTGTTTTTGTGCTCAAGTCATGATCGTATAAAACCCTGTATTTTAATTTCCAGAATTCTCTTGAGACGCTGCTGATTCTGTGCTGAATTTCAAGAGTGAGTCGATATTTGCCATTTCCGAAATCAAACTGCCAAGGTAATTGAACAGCTACATATTCCAGTAGTTCTTCTCCGATTTTTATAGCACTGTTATGATTTTCCGGGGGAGTACACATGATTTTAGTTTTATCGATGTTCAGCTTAAGGCCCAAAGCCTCGTATGCCCAGGTATATCTGTTCAGCAGTTCTTATAATTTCTGTAACGTTTTTGCAACTAGAGTTCAATCATCAGCGTACTGAAGTTCTGTTATGAATTTTATACTAAGTCCTTTAAAGCAGTCCCGCAAACTAAATGCTAACGCTGACCAAACCGCCCCACCAAACCGAGGGAAGCCTTAAATCTCCACGGGAAAAATATGGAGGTTTATACTAGAACCTGGAAGTGGAACCCTAAAACTAACATGAAGCTTAGCAACCTTGCTAAAAAAACTTCCACAAACCCACATCTCAAGGCTGTCCATGATGAACAAATCCAGTTCCGTTCCTTCTCCATCAAGCATTCTGGAGTGAAATTGAATAAAATGCGCCAACCAGCGTGTCAGATATTTTAGATCAATTTGAGCTCAGCAATGTATGAGAGGCTTAGAGGAAACATCTAAGCCGACATGTTTTATGTCAACGGCGCCATGTTCCTATCTAAAGTAGTAATTGAGTAAATTAAATAATTTCTTACAGCGCGGAATTGTCACAGATTTGTATTTTTTTGTTGGGGCACTTTCACAGCGGCATGATTATCCTAAAATATGTTTTTCCCCGATAGGTGGTCCCGTTTTTTAAGATATTATATTTTTTAATTGAAATTTTCAAAATTTCATTGTTTACCAAAGAGTATTGCAAAGGCGCGTTTCTTGGTGTCCGCCAGTAGCACTGTTATCCCACAAAATAAATAGAAAAAGCTTACCTCTGATATTTAAATGATATTAAGCATGTACCATGTGTTCATATTTCGTTGTTGCTTCTCTATTTGTTTCATAATGATAGTATCTATAATGATCTGCTCTTTACATCCTCGGCTATTTTTTCGACATCCTTTCTGTTCTTCTGGTATTATGTCGTTTTGTGTTAGGTGATTGTCAATCTTTTGTGTTATTAAAGACGTAATTATTTTATACAGGGTAGGTAAACATGTAATCGGTCTGTAGTTGGCAGGTTTTTGTGTGTCTTCACTTTTAGGCTTTATGTATGTTTTTCCTTGTGTTAGAAAATGTGGCATGTTTTATGGCTCTAGTATAATGTTGTTTATTAGTAATAAGTGTTGATGTATTGCTGTAAACTTTTTATACCAGTAGTTGTGAATGTGGTCTACTCCAGGGGCCTTCCAGTTGTGGGATTTTTGTATGGTTTTAGTCAGCTCTTCTATTGTAAATGTAGGATTTGCTTGTTGTTGTATATGTTTGTACTTATTTTGTTCTTCTTCAATCCACGGGGCACTTTCGTTATGAGTTATTGGGCTTGACCATATACTTTCCCAAAATTGTTTGATTTCTTCTGCATTTGGAGGTAATATTGGATTATGTGTTGGTTTGGCCAGGCTGGTATAAAATAGTTTTTGACTTGCATTAAATTGTGCGTTTTGTTTCCTTCTTTCGTTAGATTCGGTGTATCTTTTTAGTCTAGTAGAGTATACAGCTAACTTTTGTTTTAATGTATCTAATGCTTCTATTGGTGTTTCATTGTCGTTTTTATTGATAATGTGCTTTAATTGTTTTATGACTTGTTTTGGTCGGTTTCCCCTGCAATATTGTGTCAATCTACCTAGATCTTTCCATATATTATCTATTCTCTTTTCTATCCTAATAAGCCAAGTAGGTTTTAGTTGCTTTCTATTACAGTTTCTTTTGTTGTCTCTAAATTGTTTATTTTGTATTATCACCGTTGTAGCGGATGCATATACCAGAAGATGAAGGTCTTCTAATGTGATTGTGTTCTCTATTTCTTTTTTTTATTAAGGTATTGACTGTATTAATAATGTTGTTCGTGTGTTTTTTAAATATAAGTTTTGGTAATGGTGGCCGATTGATTGGATCGATTCCTGTCCATTTAATTATATTTTCTTGTAATTCGTTGTATATTCCTTCAGCGCTTAGTGATGTTTTTATTTGTGGTCTTGGCACTGTGGTAGTTGATGGAGTTTCTATGATTTCTATTTGTTGAGTTGTTGCTTCTGTTTTTTTATTTCTGTTTGGCTAAGTTCTTCTGGTAAGTTATGTTCTTCTGGTAAGTATGTGTTTAACTGGGCAGCGATTTCTTCTTTAATGGTCTGAATTTCCTGATCTGTAAGTCTTTTGTTTGTTAAAATTACACGTTTTTGGTCTACAAGTCTTTGTGGTGTGACAATGTGTGTTAGTTCTGGGTATTCTTGTATAAATAGTCTATACAAGTCTGATCTGTATCCTATCTTGAATGTTTCTAGTTTTGTAGCGATGTAGTAGCAGCGCATGACAGTGGTGTTCATTTCTCGTGTCAAAGCCATACGTTGCCGGGGTTTTCCCTCCTTGGTGGTTGCCTGTTGACCAGGCAAAACACGTTCAGTGGGTCCATTTTCGGTATCCGGTTCTGTATCCATTTGATCGAGCTGTTGATTCCCGCGCCGCCCTCGACCATGGCGTCGCTCGTCCGAGGCTATTCCTAATTTTTGAGGAACCACGTACACACCAAAGGGTGGTTAGCCCTGTATGGTGGTTGACAAGAATCCACGTGCTTGTCAGAGCACGTAAGGTACCTTTCACGTAACCTTTCCTTGCGGTCCTAGAGCACGTAACCTTTCCTTGCGGTCAGCTAGAGGCTGCGTGTTTGCCATACACGTAAGGTATTTAACCATTTCTTGCAGGATTTTTTTTTAACTAGGTTAACTCCCCGGGGAGGAGGAAAAGAAGGTAAAAGGATGAAAAGGTAAGTATGGCGGGATATGTAGGGCTAGGTGGTGATGGAAAGAGAGGATTCAGGTAAGTGGACAGCGGACAGCTGGCCACTTATTATTTATAATAATAAATATTATTATAAATAATAATATTTATTATTTTTATTATTTTTTTTTTCAGCAAATGCTGGTTGGGCTGGCTTCTAGAGAAGGAATTCACCTTATCCCATAGCCAGAAATTTACGTACTATCCTGCATGTGTGTAAAATTGCGCTTCTCTGCATTGGTACGTAAAGGCCTGAGTGTAGAGAGGCCTTATGCAAAAATTCCTTAAATCGTTTAGATACAACTCCCTCAACTGATATCACTATTGGTATTATATCCACATAATTATTTTTTTTTGTCACTCTTGGTGGTATATTCTGACAGACGGGTGTTAATTACCAAGTACTGTCAGAGTTTCTATTGTTTTGTTTCTATTGTTTTAAGAAGGAGCGGGTTATGTTTGTGGTTTTAATAATTACTGCTTTTTGAGCAAGTGTGTGAATATGACCTTTTAAATTTAAAATATCGAGGTTTTCTTTAAATTTCCTGTGTGTGAGGCCCGTGCTAGATATAATAAATGGTAGGATTTTAACTTCTTTTTGTTGCCATATTCGTTCTACTTCCTGTGTTAGTGGAATATATTTGCTAATTTTTTCTTCATATTTCTTTGTTATGTTGTTGTCATTCGGAACACTGATTTCTATTAGATATGTTACTTTCTCTTTTTTTAGTGTTAACGTTATATCAGGTCTATTGCATGTTACTGTCTTGTCAGTATGGATCGTTCTGTCCCAGTAGAGTTTTATAGTGTCGTTTTCAAAGACAGATTGCGGCGTGTATTTGTAATAGGGCTGTTCTTCTTGTATAAATTTATATGTTTTTGCTATTTCTTGATGTATAATACGCGCAACAAAGTCATGCCTTAGAGTGTATTCTGTACCAGTGAGTATTTTACAACCATTTGTAATATGCTCTATTGTTTCACTTTGGAGGTGGCAACGCCTGCAGGTATCCGTTTGTTGGGCCCTATCTTTTATTATGTATTTCCTGTAGTTGCGCGTTGCTATTACTTGATCTTGTATCGCTATAATGAATCCCTCCGTTTCCGGTTGCAGTTGCCCTTTTTGTAGCCATGAATATGACAGTTCTTTATCGATGTCGGGGTTGTTCATAATATGACAGTGTTTTCCATGTAGTTGCTTTTGGGACCATTTGTTTTTCTTTTCCTCTAATGTGAGTATATTTGAAACAGGAATATTTTCTGCGTTAAGATTTAATGGTGTGTAGTTAGCATCCGCTATAGTTACTGCTTGGTGTAATGAGGTATTTTTTTCTTTAAAGTATTTTCTTAGTGAATTAATCTGTTTGTTGTGTATTTCGTGAATATCTGTCAGGCCCCTACCTCCTTCTTTTCTTTCAATGGTCAGCCTCTCCTTGCAAGAGTTGGGATGCAGCTGTCGGAATCTAGTTAGCTGAGTTCTTGTCAGAATATTTAAATTTTCCAGATCTGTTTTGGACCATTTAATGATTCCAAATGAATAGGTGAGCAGCGGTATGGCGTAGGTGTTAATCGCTCTAACTGTGTTTTTTGAATTTAGTTCGGTTTTCAGTATTTTACTTAGTCTTTTCCTGTATTGTTCTTTTAGTTGGGTTTTGAGTGCGGTATGGTCAACTTTTCTGTTTTGTAAAATTCCCAAGTATTTGTAATATTCGTTGGGTTGCATGTTGTCTAAGTGTTCATTGTTTAATGTAGATGCCTGCTCTTCGTTTTGCCATTTACCTCTGTTTATGTGTAGTGTTTTACATTTGTTCATCCCAAATTCCATTTTTATGTCGTTTGTGGATTTTTCTAGAATTTTAAGTAGCTCGGTGTGTTCTGTTTTTGTCGCTGTATATAGTTTTATGTCGTCCATGTATAGGAGATGGTTAATTTTATGTCTTACTGATTTTTCGTATTTAATGTTAAAGCCATATGCTGTTTCGTTCAAAATATTGGAGAGTGGGTTAAGGCATATACAAAACCACAGTGCACTTAGGGAATCGCCCTGGAAGATTCCTTTTTTGATTGGGATTGTATCTGTTTGTATATTTGCATTACAGGTTGTTAGATGGATGCTTGTTCTCCATGACTGCATTGTTTGACTTAGAAAATTTTGAAGCATTGGATGGATTTTATAGATTTGAAGAACCTTTTTTAACCAGCTATGTGGGATGGAGTCATACGCTTTTTTGTAGTCGATATAAGTTACGTGGAGATTTCTACATTCCTTGACAGCTTGGCCCATTACTACCGCATCAATGGTTAACTGTTCCTTGCATCCTTGGCTCTGTTCTCTACATCCCTTTTGTTCCTCTGTAAGTATATTATGCTGTGATAAGTGCTGATTTATCTTCTGACATATGACTGCTGTAATAATTTTATATAATGTTGGTAAGCAAGTGATAGGTCTATAGTTGGCGGGGTTTTGTGTTTCATTATTTTTTGGTTTAATATAGGTTACTCCTTCGGTCAAAAATTTTGGAGTTAAGTTTGGTCTTTCTATAATTCCGTTAATGTACTTTGCGAGGTACACATGTGTGGTTGTAAATTGTTTATACCAGAAGTTATGGATCTGGTCGACACCTGGCGCTTTCCAGTTGTGCGTCTTTTTTATAATCTGCGAAAGTTCTCGTAGTAATATTGATGTTGACTTGTTGTGGTGTGTTTAGAGGTCTATTCTCTTCATTCTTTATCCATGATGCGTCTTCATCATGATCTACCGGGTTTGACCATATATTTTGCCAAAATATTTTAATCTCGTTTCCTGTGGGTGCAATAATATGAGTCTCTTTGTTGATTGTGAGTTTCTTGTAGAAAAGCTTTTCATTTTGGTTGAATAGGTTATTATCATTTCGTTTTTGGTTTGATTTTTTGTATCTATGTAGTCTTGTTGCATATACAGCTAGCTTTTGTTTAATTATGTCTTGAGTTTCAATTAAAGTTTCTTTTTTATTTTTCATAATTTGTTCTACGTGTTTTCTGACTTTGTCTGATTTATTTCCTTTTATGTACTGAGTGACCCTGCCAAGTTCTTTTCTTAGACTGTCTATCTTTTTTTCTATACGTGTTTGCCAAGTAGGTTTCCATTCTTTCTTCTGTTGAGTTCGCTTTTTTATTGTCTGTTCGTTGCATGTAAGTATTGTTAGGGCTGCCATGTATATGAGAGCGTGTATATCTTCCAATGTAGATTGTTGTGACAGATAAAGTGGAAGTATTTCGGAGTTCATAGTTGTTATTAGGGCACGTGTATTTTTTTTGAATATAAGTTTTGGTAGTTTTGGTCTTTTTGTTGGGTCACTACCATTCCATTTAATTTTGTTTGTTTCCATTTCATCTATTAGTTTATTTTTATTTGTTTCCCTTAGACTCTGAAGAGATCCATTAGATGTTTCTTCATCTCTTGTCACTCTCTGTACTGTACTTTGATTTTGTTCGTTTAGCATATTCTGTTCTTCTATGTTGGTATTTTCTGCATCACTTGTTTCTTCTATGGTGGTATTTTCTCATTTCAGGTCATTACTCACTTCTTCTTTTACCTGTTCTCTTTCGGCTTGCGGTATTCGGTTATTTCTGATAATGACTCTTATCTGATCTGCTAGCCTTTGTTCACTTACGATGTTCGATAGCTCCGGATATTTATTTAAAAATTCAGTGCGAAGTTTTTGTCTCTATTGAGTCATATCTGATTCCAGTTTGGTGACTTTGAAATAGCATCGGATGAGCATTCTGTTTATTTCATCTGTCCACTTCATCCTTTGCCGAGTTTTACCCGTTTGAGTGGTTGCCGGAAGTATTTCCCGCAAAGCATCTCCAACGGACTGTTCCTGTTCGTTTGCCGGGTCAGTCGTCCTATGGTCGGGTTGTGAATTCCCGCGGCATTCCCGACCGTGATGCCGCTCGTCCGAGGCTTCGTCCTGTGATTTAGGAACCCAGTATTCACACTAAAAGGGAGGTTAACCCTTTTAGTCGTGTTGTCGTTTGCCGGTTGATAACCGTTGCCCGAGGTGCACCACGAGGAGGTGACAACTTGCACCCCTGTTTATTATTATTAACTACCCTATTATAAATTACCCCTAATTTATTATTATTATTATTATTTTTTTTTTCACAGCACTTTTGCTGGGTACGGCCAATGTTCGCGGGGTCTTTATAGACCAACGCGACCATCTGTTGCCAGTATACGTCTCACGGTGTGACAGGTTGCCAAAATGACAGCTTTTTGTGAGATTGGCTGTGAGATTGGCTACAATTTGCTTCGGGTTGCGTATGCCGGTAGCCTTAAGATTGCGAGCTAAGTACTTATCTACTAACCCATTACACGATATTATTATAGGATATATTTCCACCTTTTCCAACTGATACATTCTCTTTATCTCATCCGCCAGTTCTTGGTATTTCAGGACTTTCTCCATTCTTGATTTTCCTACATTTTCGTCTGCTGGAATTTGTATATCTATTACTTGCGCCTTTCTTTGCTTCTTATCAAAAACTAAGATGTCTGGTCGATTGTGACTCACCGTCCTATCCGTTGTTATAGCTAGGTCCCATAGGATCTTCCACGATTCGTTTTCTAGTACCGTCTGAGGCTGGTATTTGTAGTATGGGACTTTTGCAGTAAGGAGCCCCATTTGTACACAGAGTTCCTGATGTATTACGCCTGCAACTTGGTTGTGCCTGTTTAGGTAGTCCCTCGGGGCAAGATATGTGCAACCAGCAGTTAGGTGTTGAATAGATTCAGTAGTGGTCTGGCATAGTCGACACTTATCAGATGGTAAGTCCTCTTTTAGGATACATTTTCTCCGGTTTCTCGTAGGTATTACCTGTCCTTGTACGGCGTTTATGAATCCTTCAGTTTCGAACATTAACTGGCCATCAGAAAGATAAGACGTTGAAAGCTCCTTATCGACCTCACCTCCGTTGAGGTTGGCTGCATACCGTCCATGTAATGGTTTCGCCTTCCATTCTTCCTCGAATTGGCTGATTGTAACTGGGATTGGTGGGGGATTCTTATCTGCAAGTTTAAACTGTGAATATGGGTCGTCAACCTGTATTAGCGCTCGATGCAATGGCTGATCGGTACGGAGAAAGTAGTCTCTGAGGTTGGTGGTCTGTTGGTGGTGTTGTACGACTAGATTTTGTAAACCTCGTCCTCCATTTGCCCGCGGAAGGTATAATCTGGCAGTCAAATCTTGTGGGTGGTGGGACCTGAATTTTGTTAGAAGCATCCTTACTTTCCTGTCAATGCTTTCCAGGTTTGTTTTGCTCCATTTCAATAAAGTGTGGGATATAGTTGGTATGTGTGGGATATAGTTGTATTACAATGTGTGGGATAAAGTTGGTATTACCCAAGAATTAATTGCCTTGACTTTTGCCCCAGAGTATAATTCCGTTTTAAGTATTTTGGTCACGCGTTGGAGAAAAGATGATTCGACGGCCTTTTTCATTTCAGTGTGGTCTATAATAGCGAACTGTTGCACACCAAGATATTTGTACTTTGCTCCTAGTTCGAGTCCTGCGATGTGTTGTCCTCCCCTCAAGTCGATACCTTCGGATTCTATGATTTTTCCTTTTATCACGTTCACGTATGCGCACTTACTGATACCAAATTTCATTTTAATATCCTCGCTAAAACATGACACTAGTTCTAGCAGGCTGTGTAGTTGGTCCCTATTTGTAGCGTAGAGCTTCAAGTCGTCTACGTAGAACAAGTGCGTTAGTCGAACACTTGGGTTTTTCGTTATCTGGTACCCGTAGTTTCCAGTCTTTAGCATGGAACTAAGTGGGTTAAGTGCCAAGCAAAACCATATTGGGCTCAGGCTATCCCCCTGGAAAATGCCTCTCCGGATTTTTAAAGTGTCAGTAAGGTATGAAACACCATTCAGGTTCACCGCTAGTTGCGTTCTCCATCTATCCATGGTTTGCCAGAGGAAGTATATTACTTCTGTATTAATTTTATATATTTCTAATGTTTTTACTAACCATGAATGGGGGACGGAGTCAAACGCCTTCTGGTAGTCGATCAATGCCATTGCTATATTTCTTTTTATAACCATGGCCTGTTTTGTTACGATGGCGTCAACTACGGTCCACTCTCTACTACCCTGCGATCCCTCCCGGCTTCCATTTTGTTCCATGGCTAGAATTTTATTTTTTTTTAGATGTTGAGTTATTTGGGCGTTTATTACAGATGTAAGTATTTTATAGATTACCGGTAAGCAGGTTATTGGTCTAAAATTCTTTGGATTTTCAGGTTCCTGATTCTTGGGGAGCATGTAAGTTACTCCTTGCGCGAAGAAGGGCGGCATCTTTTCAAGGTCGACAAGGGCTTGCTGGAACTGCCTGGACAAGATTGGGTGGGTAGCAGGAAAGTTTTTCCACCAGTATGCTTGGATCTTATCATTCCCTGGGGTCTTCCAGTTGCTCAACCTTGTAAGAGCTTTTCTCACCAACTCTGCCTTTTCTCTGTTCTTCATTTCTCAGCCAATAGGCATCCTTATTATGATTTTCTTCCTGAAACCATATTTCACTCCAATATTTCATCATATGTGCCTTCTCTGGGGGTTTTCCTTGCTGTTGTTGGGAATCTGTTGAAAGGTTGCGGTAGAAGAGTTTCTGGTTCAGTTGGAAATCACGATTTTGTTTGTATCGCTTAACCCTTTTGTTGTATCTTCTTAGTCTAGCCCCCAAGGCGGAAATTTTTTGTTTGAGGTTCTCAAGGAGCGTTCTGAGGTTCTGTTGGTAAGCTGGTTCATTGATATTAAGATCGTGTGCTTTGGCTATGTTGTTAACTCTATGCCTTAATCTAACGCTAGAGCCAGCAGGATTTTGGGTATAAGTGTTAATTGGCCCTATCACTTCCCTTAATTTCATTATTTTTGATTCCAGTCTTCTTTTCCACGGTGGGTTGCTATCTGTCTTGATCTCTCGTGATATTCTGTGGGACGTACTACATCCTGTTGCATTACAAACAGTTATTGCGGCACTGTAAATTAGGTGGCAGGTTTCCTCTAGGTTGGAGCTAGAGGGAAGCTTCTGAGCAAGTATATTGTTAACCAGTCTAACAGTTTGAAGAGTTTTTACATTGTATTTGATTTTTGGGATTTTGTCTCTTAACTGTAGCGGGATACCTTCGTATTTTAAACAGTTTTCTTCAAATTGGGAGTGAAGTTCGTTAACCGCTGGGACGTTTTCGTCCTCGGTGAGAAGAGTTGTCACGGTTTCTCGTTTGTCTTCAGCGCTTTCCTC